GGCTTAGGGTCTAGGGTTTAGGGCTCAGGGTTTAGGGTTTAGGGCTTAGGGTTTAGGGTTTTGGGTAGTTTAGGCTTTAGGGCTTACCCTAAGGCTCTTATTCCTGTTATGCGCTTTCTAGGGGAAGGTTTGGGCTTTGGGGGCTAAGGTTTGGGGTTTCATTATGAGGGTCCATGAGCCCTAGGGCTTTGGCAATAACCTTAAGGACGAAATGTACCCCAAAAAGGTTTTAGGTTTCAGATACCATATAGGAAATCATAGTGTAGGGGAAAAAGGCCCTTACTTTTAAGAATCCTTTGGTCCCCAAAGAAACCTAAACCCCTAAACCCAAGGATGCTTAGTGCTAGGATCCCCTATGCTCTACCTTAAGGGCATGAGGAGACTGATGTTCCAACTTTTTGGCTTCTGTCATAGGGTTTCGGGTTTAGGTAGTAACCCTAAACCCCTGAACCCCAAGAACAAACCCTAACCCTTAAACCTCAAATTTTAAAACCTAAACCCCCTAAACCTTAACCCTTAAACCCTAAGCCCTAAACCTTAAACCCTACAGCCCTAAACCCCTAAATCCTAGACCTTGAACCCTGAAGCCCTAAACTCCTAAACCCTTAACCCTTATAATCCTTAAAGCCTAAACCCTAAGCCCTGCCAGGAAGAACGGACCAGCCGAATGGACGAGTTCCAAGAAGCGCAGCGCTCTCACGAGCAGGCAGGGCTCTGTGGATTGTCGGTTCCTGCGTCCCCTAGACCCTACACGCTAAGGGTCCTATAAATCCTCAACCCTAAATCTTAAACCCTAAAGCCGAAACCCTAAACCCTAAACCCTAACCTACATCCTAAACCCTAAACCCCAAACCCTAAATCCTAACCTAAATCCTAAACCCGAAACCCGAAATCCTAAACACCTCAACCTGCGCTCTCGCAGCCTTTGGAAGGACCTCAAGCGCTTGAGGAAAGACCTGGAGGCTCGAAAGGGTTTAGGGTAGTTTAGGATTTAGGGTTTAGGGTTTAGGATTTAGGGTTTAGGGTTGTTTAATTAGGGTTGTTTAGGTTTTAGGGTTGTTTAGGGTTGTTTAAGGTGTAGGGGGTTTTGTCAGTGCCGGTGCTCTCTAGCAATACTTACAACTACCTATAGCTACAATGAGGTACTCATAGCCTTGCTAAGTCCTCTGAGCCTCCATGTAGGCCCTGCATGGAGGCTGCGCGCTTTCAGCTGCTGGCGACGAATTTCCGAGGGTCCCCTGGCCTTGCTCCGCCCTCCCCTGGGGGAGAAAGGCTCAACAGTCGCTTGGCATGGCCTCACCCGGTAACCCCCCAGGTTTAGGGTTTAGGGTTTAGGTCATATAGGGGCTTAAAGATCGAATTACCAAAACTATTTTGGGGGGTTCCTTATTATACATATGGTATACTGGGCCCCAAGACCCTATTCTAATCATTAAGGCCCCTATATTACCTACGGATCTTCGGGCCGGAGGGATGGGGCTTCGGATTCGGATTCCTAATATAGGGGCCTAAGTCATTAGAATAGGGTTTGGGGTTCCCTTAAAGGGTTCCTTAGAGGTTTCTATAAGGACTACTATAAGGGTCTAGGGTTTAGGTGCCTAAATCATTAGAATAGGGTGTCGGGGCCCACTTTACCATAATTATAATAAGGAACCCTTAAAATAGTGTAGGAAATTCTTTAGGCCCCCCATTCGATGCTGCTATGCCCATGGAGCCTGTCGGGCTTCTACGGCGCAAGCACTTGTGAGGGAATAGCCGTTTCTAGTCTTGGAGACGTCAAGGTGCATTTTTGGGTTTAGGGTATATAGAGTTTAGGGTTTAGGGTCTCCTAAAACGAACTCTTGTTTGGCCGAGGGCCACCCTAAACCCTAAACCCTAAACCGTGGAGTGTCTTGCTTCCGCATGGCAGTTCATCTGAGGCATCCTCAGTGCTCGGAGCGACGATGGCGAACCTTCCCCTTTCGACTTCGATACAGGTCCTAAGCCCGACGCCCTGTAAATTTCTAAACCCCTCCAAAGCACTACATCCTAAGCCCGACACCTTGCAAAGCCCTAAACCCCTCTAAACCACTACATCCTAAGGCCTATAGACACCAGTGACGGATGAGTTTGATATTCTACACCTATAATATTATAGTGAATGGTGGTTCTATTGTGGTGTAATGAACGAAGGGAGTGATTGTATCTTAGGTCTAGGATCCCTTGGCCGATTTCTTCTCGTCGTTCCAGGTACCGGGAATGCCAGCTTGGCAGATGAGCTCTCCGGTCATTTTCAGTGGCCGACGGGCCAGGACCCAAGGTTTAGAGTTTAGGGTTTAGGGTTTAGGAGGGTTTAGGGTTTAGGGTTTAGCCTTCTCTTCCGTTTCAGAGTGGCTTTAGGTGAAACTCGGGAGTACGGTTTAGGGTTTAGGGTGCAATTGCTGCAGATTAGGGTTTAGGGTTAGGGTCCAAATAGGGATTAGGGTTTACAGGGCTTTTTGGAATTTGAGACAATGTCATACAACATAATTGCAGCATATGACAATATCACTATGTGGGTTTCCATGCTCACATCAAGAAGCTCCTTGGCTTTTTGTTGGGGTTATGGTTTTGGAAATGTAGTTTAAGTTACCAGAATAGGGATCAATAAATTCCTTTACCAAGAACCCACCCTAAACCCTAAACCCTAAACCCTAAACCCTAAACCCTAAACCTTAAACCCTAAACCGAACCCAGTGTTGCGCAGGATGCCCTGCAATATCGGCTTCCCGAAGAGATCAACGAGCTTCGTGTGGAGTTGCAGCAGATGCAGCAGGCACAAGCAGGCCGGTCTGGCCACGGAGAATCCCACGGTCCCTAAGGCTCCATGTACTTTTATAGTAGATACTTAGGCCTTAAAGTACCTACATAGGGACCCCTTTAAAAGGAACTAGTATGGAGCCTATGGGTACCCAGAGACTCCAAAACCCTTTAATTAAGGAATATACCTTAAATTATAATAGGATCCCCATTTTGATTTAAATTTAAGGTATATTCCTTAATTAAAGGGTTTTGGAGTCTCTGGGTCCCACGGTTTAGGGTTTAGGGTTTAGGGCAGTAAAGGCCTGAATAGTTAGAATAGCTGTAGGGGTCCTTTAAAGGGGTGTGAAAAGGGACCACAAGGGTTTCTATACGGGCTACGGGGCCCGCTATACTCGAGTTATCATAAGGAACACCCAAACAGAAACAGTATTGGTAATGATTTAGGCCCCTACATTAAACCCAAAAAGCCCCAAGCCTTGACGATAGTCTTCTACGAACCTTCATGTTGCGCATCTAAGTTGAAGCTAAGGGTGCCAAGCGTGAGAGCTGCATTTTTGACCCTAAACCCTAAACCCTAAACCCTAAACCCTAAACCCTAACCGTGTTCTGCCTCCTGTCGCCTGCGAGGTGGTGCTGAAGCCGAACAGGCTCCTTGTCTGCAACGAGCTAGTATACCCTAACCCACCCTCCAGGTACCTACCCTTTCTAGTAGGTGCCTGGGGGGGGGGGGGGGTGGGAGAAAGACTGAAGGTGTTCTGGCGGCATAAGCTGCGCTTCGCTACATCACTTTCTTCACCTCTCCCCTTTGTTGGTGTTTCGGTGGTCGTACGTGCCATGTGACTGGAGCTCCGAGCGCAAGGAGAATCGTTTGGTGGCTTCTGCCTTGCATCAGGTCGTAGCGACATCAACATCATCATTATCATCATTATCATCATCATTTTCGCCATCTTCTTCATCATCATCAACAACATCCTCGTCGTCGTCGTCATCATCATCATCAGCATCATCAGCAGCAGCATCATCAGCGTCATCATCATCGCCATCAGCATCATCATCATTATCATCATCATCATCGTCATCATCATCATCATCATCATCATCATCATCATCATCATCCTCGTCGTCATTATCATCATCATCATCATCATCATCATCATCGTCGTCGTCGTCGTCATCCTCATCCTCACCATCATCATCCTCACCACCATCAACATCCTCATCAGCGTCATCAGTGGTGGTCAAGTTCTTTTCGCCATGCTTCGACAGTCGCAGCAGCAACATCTCAGTTTCCCGAGCCTGTAGTGCGGCGAAGCGAAGGCTCTGATGCATGCCAACGCGGAGTTGAAGGCCGAAGCCCAGGACTGCGTGACAACCCTCGACCCAACTCCCTACCTAAACCCTAAAAGTATGTAGAATGATAGCCTTTGATAAGCGTTGGGCCAGATGTTACCTACTTTTGGGGGTTTAGGTAGACCTTTTGGCAACTCTGAACTCTGTCAAAACCCCGCGGAAAATTGGCCCCCATGGAGCCCCCTAAGCCCTAAACCCTGAACCCCTAAACCCCTAAACCCCTAAACCCTACACCCTAGACCGCCATCTGCTCCCAGCTCATTTCAGGAAGTGCGGGGGCTGCGCAAGGAGTTCGAATCCTTCGAGCAAGGATCGGCGCGCTCGCGACTCGGGGTGTTTGTTTCGTGGCGAATATAGGAGCCTTGAGGATGACCTATATATTGTTTTTGGGGGGCTCCTTATTATAACTATATAGTATAATATGCCCTAAAACCCTATTCTAGTTCTAATTCATATGGCCCCCTACGTTATTCGTGGCACAGTCAGATCAGTCTTGCTTTTGCTCTGAAGTCGAGATCAGGTGCCCCGGAAGCGGAAGCGGGAGAGGCCCTGTGACCAGACTTGTGGCGTGTGCCAGGAAGACGGGAGCAGATATCGGTTTACCCAGAGACTCCAAAACCCCTTAATTAAGTTTAAGGAATATACCTTAAATTATATTAGGATCCCTAATGTGATTTAAGGTATATTCCTTAATTAAGGGGTTTTGGAGTCTCTGGGTACCCATAGGCCCCATAATAGTTCCTTTTGGGGGCTCATGTTTAGAATCCTATAAAGTAATCCCCAAAAGGAACTACTATGCGGCCTATGGGTACTGCTGATCGAATGAGGGGGTTGCTACCGTGGCCTATAGCAGGAGTGTCTTGCTTACAGGCGTGCTGGGGGCGGCATGCTGATGCAACACTGCGCCATATCAGTTGAGCACACTTCCAGTTCAGCCAGATGTTGCTTCCCATAGAGCCGCCATCATACAAGAAGACATCGGCAGTGTACTTACACGGTGCTGCATGATGCTTTGACGAAAGTTCCATTTGTTGTTGCGCTGGCGGCTTGAGGCGGCGACTTAATATCAATGATAGTTATTAGCACATGTCGCTCTTAACCCCTAAACCCCTAGACCCCTAAACCCCTAAACCCCTAGACCCCTAAAGCTCTAAACCCTAAACCCCTAAACCCTAAACCCCTGAACCTTAAACCCCAAACCCCCAAACCCCTAAACCCCTAAAGCCCTAAACCCCCTGTGTCCGGCGGATATGAGTGCCGGGCAGCTTCGGCCTCCGCATACCCAGAGACTCCGAAACCCCTTAATTAAGGAATCTACCTTAAATTATAATATGGTCCCTAATATGATTTAAGGTATCTTCCTTAATTTTGCGATATTGGAGTCTCTGGGTTCGGCCTCTGCATACCGAGCAGGCCGAAGAAGAAGTACAAGCGATGCTGAGCGCTGGCATCAGGCCGACGGGATGTTGAGGGGTTTAGGGTTTAGGGTTAGAGTTTAGGGTTTAGGGTTTAGGGTTTAGGGTTTCGGTTTAGGGTTTAGGGTTTAGGGTGTTGACATGTGCATGTCATGGTTTCGCCTTGTCCAACGGCCGTGCAGTCCTTTAGAGCAAAGTGCCCGCCCATGTAGTCAAGCGAGATGTGACGTGGGGTTTAGGGTGTAGCGTCCCGTACGAGTCAATTGAATGCAAGTGCACGTTGACCACTTCCTGACCCCCCCATATTGTCAGTGTCGCAAGTTCGGTGTCCTATGCTTCAGACTGTTGCAAGGTTGCTCAGCCGAAATAAAGCCTAAAGCCAAAACCATAAAGCCTAAAGCCAAAACGAAAGAAACACCTAAAAGCCCTTAGCAAATTTTTTCGCGATCCACGAGTTTCTGCCGCAACTCTTGGCGACTCTTGGGCAGTTCTGCAAAACAGGGTTCCGTTGTAGAATCTTTTTTATGCTGTACTACTGTTGATGATATAAATCCTGCATTATCTTAAGGGCCCTAAACTATGGGAATTATGGTATATTCCTTATTACTAGTAATGCAGGATTAATATCATCAACCGTATTTTGGGGACCTACAGAGCGACCCTAATGTAGAGATCTACCCCTACAGCCAGTGTAGATATGGTTCTCCCTAAACCCTAAACCCTAGACCCTGAACCCTAGACCCTAAACCCTAAAGCCCAAACCCCGAAATCCTAAACCCTATAAACCCCAAACCCCTAAACCCTGAACCCTGAACCCCAAAACCCTGAA